TTTTCTCCTGCTGCATTGGGGTAAAATACAGTGTTACATTTATACTATTTTTATGAAGTGTTACTATCATTAAATTAAATAACTATCTAGCAATGGCTTTGGTCATTTTACATCACACTCACAATACATAAACTATGTATTTGGCAGTTAACAGTAGAAATTACAATCCCTACAGTATAAATTTATAGATTAACATGTCATCTCAGCCAATCCATATTACATACTATAGCCAATAAATATTAAAACATTCCACAGGTTTATAAAAAGTCCACAAAATAGGCAATTGTTATTGTATTGTATAGATACAGTACGCTGATGGACTGGGCTAATTTTCTGATTTATTTGTACTGTATTTTACATTGCACGTTAGGAAGGATAGCAAACAGATAAAAAACATCTATACATCTTCTTAAATTTGGTGAAATAAAGAAAGCTTGGCCTAGGAAGGAACAGACTGCTGTGTAAAAGGGTTTTGGGCTCTGCGGAGCTCTAGGTAAAATTCTTGGCTCAGAATTTAGAAACATTTTGTTGTTTCATCCTAAATGTGTGTATGCTAAACCTGGTTCTATTTTCTTGATTTAACAAGCCTGGACACAGTTGATTCCTGCGTAGATGTCCCATAATAAAAAACGGATTAACTTCTTGAAATGCTTGTATAGTTACATTGCAATAGTAGTTGTAGTAGCACTGCTTCCCATTGCAAATATTTTTGATTCTCTTATTAGTCAGAGGCAATTAACAAAAAGAAATTAAGCAAATGTATTGTTACTCAGAATGTTCCACCTAAAGAACTATATTCTTTATATTTACTTATTCATATCCCAACACTGCAATTTTTATAAATAAGTCGGCCGCAAACATGCAGGTAGTCAGTGACTAACAACCACAATAGGTCCAAATGTCTATTACTGAAACAGTCATTAAGTGAGTTGCACCCAATTTTACAACCATTTTTGCCATGGTTAAGAGTATCACCGTTAAGTAAATCCACCTTCTCCTATTGACTTTGTCTAAGTCAGCTGAGAAAGTTGCAAATAATGATCATGTGATCCCAGAATGCTGCAACCATTGTAAATACATGCCAATTGATAAGTGCCTGAATTTTCATGATCCTGGGGATGGTGTGATGGTTGTAAGCACAAGGAGTGATCATAATTTTTTTCAGTACCATTGTAAATTAAGTCATTAAACAAATGGTTTCAAGTCAAGACTATCTGTAGCTAATACTGCTTCCTCCTGTTTTCCCACAGCTACACTGTGAAGTGGTTCAGCTGGGAGAGACTGTCACCTAACCAGCTTTCATGCCCAAGTCAGGACTAGAACTCACAATCTCCTGGTTTCTAACCTGATGTCTTAACCACTAAATCAAACTTCTTCTGCAAGTCCAACAACATAGGACCTTACCTCATACATGCTATATTTGCTCATATCATTAGGTTATATTTTAGATCTAGCACTGTTAGATCATGAGAAAAACTATTGTCAAAGAAGAACATCAGAATGCTAGATGTGATGGGTATGTTAAAATAGGTAATCCAATTGATACATACTTCATCTCACTGGCTGAAACCTATCATTCCATATCTTATATAGAATAATATCCCTATCCCACCATGGCATATAGCCTACTGTGTTATTTATAGAGACTAAGGTGAAATGAATGACTGGTCAAAAGAAAGGCTGAGAGAATTAGAGGGTAGGGAGACGTTTCCTTTTGGTTTGGGGTATATTTCCAATTCAGAATAGGAAAGTTCTGGTGCTATGACAGGTGTGAATGATGAGCAGCCATGCACAGTTCTGAAGCTGGTAGTAAATTCCTTCAAGTGCAAAGGGGTGGGGGAAAATGGCAATCACAGCTCTAGCCTCTTCATACCTATGGAAGCAGTAAGGGTGCACTTAGTTTTCCACACATGGCTTCTCATTTTGGCATTCTTTTTGTAAAATACATGATATAGTGTAGTGGTGGCTAAACTTTTAGGGCTCCTGTGCCAAAAATTGTGCACTTGCATGCTCACACTTGCGTGCCAGCACCCAGAAGGCAATGTGCATGGCCCCACACCCCCTACACTTGCACATGCGATCCCCACCCACCACCACGCTTACCCACACCGCACCTCACAGCTGATTTTCAGTTGGTTTGAGGCCTTTTTCGGCCTCCCAGAGACTTGAGGAAGGCTTCTGCAGGCTTTGCAGGCTGAAAACTAGCCCCGTTTCATCACTTCCGGTATTTTCGGAAAAACAGGAAGTGATGAAACAGGGCTAGTTTTCAGCCTGCAAAGCCTTCCTCAAGCCTTTGGAAGGCCGAAAAAGGCCTCAAACCAGCCAAAAATCAGCTGTAAGGCGTGCGCATGTGCAGTGAGGTAAGTTTGCCTGCCAACTTACAAATGGCTCTGTGTGCCATCTGTGGCAGGCATGCCATAGGTTCGCCATCATGTGCTGTTGGTGTTCATTTGAGGTTGTATTTACCTACTTTTAAGAACTGCTAAGGACCAGATGATTTTTACTATGTCCTGATACATAAAGCCATAAAACTCAGAGAGTGCGCCCCCCCCCCCCCCCCGACTGTATGTCTTAAATTATTGCAATTTGTTACGGAATTCTTGAGCAAATTATTAAAAAAAATACCTCTCCTAGGTATTTTTGCTAGGTATAGCAAACTGCAAAGATTGCTTATGAAATAATAGTATTGACCTACTACCGTTTTTCTCCAACAATACAGCCCCCCCATAGGAAGACCCAGCATGTTTTCTAGGCATAAAATGAAATTAAGCCCCTCCCCCCAAATTTAGGCCTATTTTAAAACATGTGAAATTGGGAGGGAAGGCGGGGGGAAACTTGCCCTTAGGAGTGCCCCGCGGGTAACCACGCCTTGCCATCAGCCGCTCCTAATGGCACATCTTGGTGGAGCATGGAGGGCTCCCTACCCCCGCCAAGCAGCTTTGCTGCAGACCCGGGTCAGTGGGCGGGTGGCGTCGGCGTGGATGTCTGCCAGCAGTTTCAGCCACTTCTCCGGCCTCCATAGCTTCCACGGTTCCCGCCGGTGCTGGTACCTCTCTCACCAGTGCCGTCTCCAACAACAACGTCTGAGACGCTCCCGCTTTTCCCCCGTCCCCACAACAGGAAAAAAAACCACTTTAAGGTACCTGGGAGCGCTGCGTGCTGTGTTTTGGTTTAGTCCTGAGCGGCTGGGAACTGTGGAAGTTACGGAGGCGGCTCCCCCACCCGAGAAGCGGCTGAAACGTTTCCACAGTTCCCGTTGCTGTTGCTGCTGTTAGAGACTGCGCTGGCGAGAGAGGGACAGCTGCAGCTTGGCCTGGGCGCACTTGGAATGCAGGAACGGGCTGTACACTGGGACTTTTGGAAACTTGCAGAGTCCGAGGCTGGAGCACCAAGGGTAGCAGCAACAGAGACGCTCGCTTGGCTCTTCTCACGCCCAACCAGCCACTCGGGATTAAATCAAAACACAGCACACAGGGCTCCCAAGTGCCTCAAAATGTTTTTTTTCCTGTTGTTGCGGGGACGGGTATGGGGGAAAAGCGGGAGCAACTTGGATACTGTTGTTGGAAATGGCGCTGCGAGTGAGGCACCAGCACCAGCGGGAACGATGCAAGCTACGGAGGCCCAAGTGGCTGAAACGCTGCCAGTGGACATCCACGCCGACACTGCCCGCCCACTGACCCAGGTCTGCAGCAAAGGTGCTTGGCAGGGGTAGTGAGCCCTCCGCGCTCCGCCATGATCGGCTGTTAGGAGTGGCTGGTGGCGAGGTGTGGCTGCCCGTGGGGCACCCGACGAGGGTGCGTGCAGGGGGGAAGAAATTAATTCACCCCCGAAAAGATGTCCTAGTCGTTTTTTCAGGGCTCAAAAAAAAAAAAAGACCTTATTATATGACAAACACGGTAGTATGCAGGCATCTGGCTGCTGAAGGTATTCCTAAACCATTTATTATAATTCAGTGTTGAATGTTACCTATACCTAGATAATTACATACACAAAATTTTCCTGCTGTCAGCATTCCAACCAAACTCTCCATCCAGCACTCAGAATTCAGCACTCAGAGACAAAGTCCATCCAAGTAAGAATTTATTAGAGAAGTCATGTTGGCACATCTGGGAAAAACCCAAATCTGAATTCCCGTGTTTTCCCCGCTACACTAAAACTCACACCCAGCCCCTATGGATGATCCTCAAGTCACTCTCACCAATCCACCTCCATTCTGAACTCCTGCCAAGTCCAGTCACTCCCCCCTAAACTCCAGCAACTCAGCCTTGAGCTCTCAAATAAATGTTGTTGTGGCTATCCTCCCCCTTCTCACCACTCTCTCATTCCCACAGCTGCCCATTCCCCATTGTGGCAGCCCGAAATCTAATTCAAGATGGACCCGGGGCTGACACCTACTCTGTTCCAACTAGATCCCATTAACTCTATATATTCCTGCTTTTTAAAAATTAATCCTATTATATTTACATAAGCATTTTTCTCTAAATATGTTTATATGCTCAAATTTATCATAGTAATAATTACACTATATTTGGCAAACATTTACAAACTCGTATTTCTGTATTTTATCAAGTTGTGCCAAGAACATTTTGCTTACAGTAAGTTAAAGTTAAAAGAAAACAGAGAATAGAGGAAAACAAAGTATTGCAAACTTTATTACTAAATCAAAAGCCAGTTGTATTGAAAATAGCAATGCAATTCTTTGCATGCCCACTTAGAAATTGTACAAGTAGTCCTCAATTTACGACTACAATGGAGCCCAAAATTTCTGTAGTTAGGTGAAACATTTAAGTTAATTTTGCCCCATTTAATGACCTTTCTTGCCATAGTTGTTAAGTGAATCATTGTAAATGTTAATGACATGCTTTTTAAGTGAATCTGGCATCCCCACTAATTTTGCTTGTCAGAAAGATGCAAAAAGGGATCATGTGACACCGGGACACGGCAACCATCATGAGTCAACAGTCAAGCATCTGAATTTTGATCACGTGATCATGGGGATGTTGCAACAATTGTAAGTGTGAAAACTGGTCATAAGTCACTTTTTTCAGTACTGATGTAACTTTGAACAGTCACTAAATCAACTGTTGTATGTTGAGGGCTACCTGTATTAAGGCTACCTGTTGAGGGCTACCTGCTTTTAAGTCACAGTACAAATGCACCACATATATTCAGAAAGTTTATCTGTATTTCTGAAAAATGCAAAGAACACTTTAATATAGTTAGCCTATTCAAATTGTAATTTAAAGTTTAAAAGTCCTTGCAAGTAGAATTTAATTTGCAAAAATATTTTCATTATAACTTAATAAACTTTAATAACAGCTGATGCTACAAAATTTAAAGGTAGGCCATTGTAGAAAAAAAGTCTATAACCAGATTATTATCATTTTTGTGTCAATAATTTAAAACAATATGACATTATGCTTTTTGCTCGATTTTTTGAAGTAGATATTCCATTTGTAAATTTAGATTTGGTTGTCCTTTTCTAGTCCTTTTACTTAATATTTTGTATGTTTCCATTTTCTTCTGTTTGTAAAGTTTTTGAGCTTTCTCTCTTTCTTCTCTTCTTTTTTTAGCTGCCTGAAAAAAAAAAGTAGAATCATTAAGACATGTACTTATTTCATTCCTTTAGAGTGATTTCATATTACGCATGCTGCATCAATCTTCACAACTATATACTGTATATAACAAAAAACAGCATATATCAGCATACATTCTCAATGCTCTTCTCATTTTGCTCACATGACAGAGCATACAAGTGTTGACATAACTTTCTTATACTGATGAAACATAAACATATGCTTTTAAGACTATATAAGATACTCAAAAGAGATCAGCAATATTGATATCATTATTATATAGGAAGTAACTGCTCATATAAAAATTAAAACCAAACCAAGATATATAGCCCTAAAACCAATGACTTTATTTAAAAGGTACATACTTCTTTTTTCTCATTTCGTTCAGTCTTTATTTTTTCATAATCCTCTTTTGCTTTCTGGTTTGAAGTTTTTGCTTTAAGTTTTCTCTGAATCACATTGCTCCTGTGTTAAACAAGAATACTGGAAATTAAAATATGCCTTTGGTTAAGCAGAACTATATTCTTTAAGCAGTTGGGAACTTTGATTCAGTGACTGAAAACCTGTGGAATAGATGAATGGCGAAGATCCTTGGATTATTATTATTCAGCCCAGTACCTTATTTAGTCATTGTAACTTTTTTGAGGAA